TTCAGAAATTGTTTGTAGCTGATGTCAAGAGCCCTGCCTAATACTGTAGATTTTAAGGATCTGTATTCTCCTTAGGAGACTACATCTACTTTGGGATGGTCTTGCTGGTCTAATGAGTTAAAGGAGCAAGGTTTGCTTTCTTTAAACTTTCTTTTGGGCAAAGATTGAGTGAGCAGAATCACTTAATAGCTTTTTCGGTTAACAGATCGATTAAATAAGGTGGAATACCCAAGTGGCAGGAATATTCTGACTCTGCCAAAGCTTTATCTATCTGGTGAACTCTCACATGTATCTCAGCATTCTTGGAACATAGGAGAAATTTCCAACAAAAACACTTAAAAAGTGGGAAAGTTGTTTGCAGTGAGTATAGTTCAAAATAGCAAAGGAAGGAAGATTTTTATTTGTAAAATGTCTCTGGAAAGAGACCCCTGAGTACTCTGTAACTCTATAAAACTGGCCATGGAGCCTTAACTCTTCTTAAATATCACTTTGAGACACTAAAAAGAAATGTGAAGCAGGCTCCCACATCCTTTAAGTGCCAGGCTATGTACAGTTATATTAATACTAATAAAGCAGAAGTCAGACAGGAGGGAGCTCTCTCCCACAAGCTGTGGGCATCAGTGTCTTGACTTCTGCTGCTCATCACAGCAGCTGATCTGGGAGAAGTGAGCAGGGGAAAATGACCTGTGATGAAAAATTGTTCTTTATGAAAGCTGACTGTGGGTTCCTCTTGCAACCCAGCTTCAGCAGATCCAGGCATGATGCAGTGCTCCCCTGAGAGTGGGCAGTGGTGCCAGGGTACGTGTGCACTCGCTGCCTTTAACAGCAATGGGTGCGGCTTGTTTTCGAAGTCACTTATGTGCTTGTTTTCTTTACTACTTTTAGTAACTTGTAAAATGCTTACAGCCAATTATTTGAACAAACAATGTCATGGAGGATAATCTGAGTCTTGGCAGCACTATAGGCTGGACACAAACATCCCATAAAATAAATGCTCTGGAAAAGTTTTCTGCATGCTGGAGGTAGAAGGGGTATCCCTCTTTCCTCCCAACTCCCTCTGTCACAATATAGATGTTGAACTGCCTCAGAAATTACCTCTTTCAGCACAGAAAGTTCATTCAATGGGACCAGAGCTCTCTGACCCCATACTCTAATGTGTCCTGCCAGGGTGACCCTTGTCTTCACTGCTGTGCTGCTGTGAAGTGAAAAAGCAAGGCTTTCCCCAGGCCTGCTCAGTGATTCCACATGAAATCATGGAGCTAAAATGGAACACTGACCAAGGTTTTCCCTTTAAAAATGCTAGTAGTTCTCCCTCTTGGCCAAAACACTGGGTTTGCAGACACCCACTGCCAGAACTGATTATGCTTCAGAGGCACATGAAACAATGTTAAGACCCAGCATACTGAGGCAAGAACCACGGATGCTGGATGGGAACAGGATTCACTACCTTGGCCTTCGATCTTCAACTGGTTGCTGCTCACAGTTTCTCTTTTCCCTGAGTCCCCAAAGAGGACAGGAGCTTTCTCTGCAGGAGTGCTCAGGGGCTGTGGAAGGACCAGGTATTTGTAGGACTGAGCAATTAATCTCTAAGGAAACCCTTAAACAAACAAATGTGGGAAGGAGGAATGCATATAAAAGTTTATGGGGTGCTGGGGAAACCCAGCTGGAATGGTTCTGGTGAGTGTGTCCAAAAGGCCTGTCATTCAGCATGAAGCAAACACACTACCTGGAGGGATGGAAATCATCACTGCCCCAGCAGTGTGTGGGTGCTGGATCCCCAACTTCTGCCCTCAGCCCTGGGACCAGGGAGTCAGAACATCCTGCTGTAAATCAGCACTAAAGGGGACAGAGCCACGGTGACCTATGTTGGGTTATGCATCCTGGGTAGCAGGATGCCTTCTCCAAAAGGAAATAATCAAGCCCATGGATACAGTATGCATCTGGACACTACACTGTCTTGAGGATTTGGCAGGCTGGCAGGGTCTAACCTTAAGAGGTGGCTGTGACAGACTGCTGGCAGTGTCAGATATGCTGCCTGTTCGGAATATTCCATCCCTGACAGCAGCACTTCCCTGCAAAATCCAAGACCTAGGACTTGGAGTGCATGGATTTTTATTTTTTTTTTAACTTATTTGCACAGTTGATCAGAAGTTGCTTTTTGTGTGGCAGTGGCTTGTGAAGATGGTGGTTTTAGTTTGGGGTTTTTTGGTTTGGTTTGGGTTTTTTTAAACACTTCTAGTGACCTCTTTAGCTGCACAGACTTGAGGATAAAAAGACAAACTTGAGTGCTGAATGTGACCATATAGCAAGTTTCTTATTCCTCTTGAACTATGAGGTTTTTTTCTTGGTATAAAAGACAAACTTAAAATCTTTCCCCAAATCCACCCCCCAGAAAGACCCACCTTCTCCCCATTTAAACAGGCCTTGTGGTGAAAACTCCCAGCTTTTGTAACTTTGCAGCCAGAAGAGCAGTAAACAGGCTCTGCCCTGCTGAGCTGTGTCCTGGGCTCTGCTGCAGCAGATCCATGTGCTAGGTTTACCAGCCTGGCTGTGGAAATAATGCATGGACAAACATATCCCACAAGTTCAGGGGGCATTAGCTCAGCTGCAGCCCTACATGGCATGGGGTTGGCTTGTGCATGGACAGCTTTGTGTTCCAGTGATGCTCAGAAAAAGTGAGAGGGAGAAAGAAATGGTGGGGGAAATAGAAAAGAGAGGGCTTTGTACATTGGTGAAATGGAGTTATGGAGTGAGAACCTGGGATCAGATAAGGAGTCAGATGCACTGGCAAGGGGAAGAATGGAAGCAGGATTTGTCAAAGGACAGCCCGAGGTATGGCCCCCATTGTATGGGGTGCCTCGGGGCCATTTCTTGTGTACTAAAAGGAATGAATCCAACACAAAATCTCCGACCGTTTTGTAGGTAGAACAGGATAGACACAGAAAGTATCTGGGAGGATCAAAAGTGCATCTGGAAAGGAAAACTTCATATTTAAATCTAAACAGTTTATGTTTGTTATTTTTGCAAAATAAACATTTTAGTGCATTTGACATTTTCCCCCCACTTGCAAAGCACACTGGGTGTTTGGTGAGGGACAGAGCAAGATCTCTGTGTGCAAAGCAGCTAACAGCAAGGATTCCTGGCGGAGGGTGTCCACTTTCTGTCTCTGTGTGTTCATATTATGGTCAGCTCTGCCAGGACTAACAGCCTGTTTCACTCTCAAATGTGTTAGCAAGTGCTGGGAGTCCATGGGCTGCATGGGAATTCCCCTGCCCTCAGAGATGCATGAATCCTTGCATGGAGGCTCCCATGTGTTGCGTGTGCACGTGGAGGGCAGAAAGGGGTTGCATGTGGGTGTATCCCCCTGGCCCAAGAGCTGCTGTAGAAGACTGCAGGGATATTTACATGAATTTCCTTTTTTTTCTTGCTCGATTTCTTCCCTTTTTTTTTTTTTTTTTCTGGCTGTCTTGTTCCTCTCTCCTGATTTACCGCAAGCGCTCACGTGGCCTTGGAAAGGGGGGTTCTCAAACTGCTTTGCTTCCAAAAGGAAAAGAAGCTGGCTGGCATTCATATTTCACTTCTTGAGTTATGTAGGTTAAAGTCTCCCAGTGGGAAAACGGAAGATATGAGAGAGCAGATTGCTGGTGGCGACACTTGCTGGGAGGAAAACGGAAAAAAGGAGCACAGAACTCTAGAGCTACGTCCGGACGAATGTGAGGTCTGAGAGGTATGTGTTCTGTCTGCTGTTGGAACATAATTTCTGTTGATTTGATTCAGTTTGTGATAGAATGTCTCATTGTGTGTGAAGTAACAGTAGGAAGGCGCAGCTTGGAGGAGCTGATTCTAAGGCACCAGTTGTTCATGTGCAGAGGGGGGAGCGTGTTTGTCAATGAAACCTTGTTCTCAGTAGTGTAGCTACAACTGATTGTGGTGTGATCCCTCTGCTAGGAGTAAGTGAGATATGTAATGCTCTGTGACGAATTCTGAGATTTCAGCTTCTGTAGCTTAAAGTGAGGGGTTCAGGACAAAAGGGTGAAATGGGACTCCAGACCCTCTCCTGAATATTTGTGTTCCCAAACGAAAAGCTTTCATTGGGTTTAAGATCTGTTGATTACAGAACATGGGCTTGTGAATCACTGTTTGTGGTTTTAAATACTGGCACTGTGCAGAAATTCCCCTACTGAATTTTCATTGTTGAGACAACATATTTAAAATTAAATTTTTGTCAGTATATCCAAAGTAGCATATTTCATATTTTGCATTGTGCAGATGATAAGCTACTGTACACTAAATTTTTAATACAGAAAAATGTGTTTCAACTGATCTGTTGCCTTCTGTTAAATGAGAGATCATTACCCAATTCTGCTGTCTTGGTCAAAATTTCTGTTGTTTTTAGGGCTCCTTGTGAATTCTTTAACAACTGACTGATTGCACAAGGACTTAATTAAAAATGAATTGTCCCTGTTATGCAAAATAAAATATTTGGGTATGATATCTTCTTTATTTGCATATAAAGTTATTTGCTTATGAAGTCTTGAACTTTGAAAAGTGCTCTGCTCAGAGTACAGACACAAGCTGTTGAACTGGAACAAAGGCAGACCTGTCAATCAACTCTCCTATTTTAGCTGGTTTGTAGTTATATTTTTCCCTTCTGAAACCCAGTCCTGATCTTTCTAAATGGATGGCACATACTACTGTTAAATCTGATGCCTGCAAGAACTGAGTTTATTGCTTGTGTCTATACTTCTTTTACTGTTCTGATTAAAGCTGTCATGAGGGCAGGAGATACAGATTTGCTTTGAGAAGATTTTGACAAATGATATTTTGCAAAGACTTTTCAGTGTCTTTGTATCCAGCCCTGTGAACTAAAAAAAAAAAAAAAAAAAAAAGTCATAGCTTGCTTTCCTAATAGCCTTGTTAAAAGGCTGCTTTCAGGGCTGAGAAGTCCCAGGAGACCCTCAGGTGTGAAGTGCCTGATCTCCACTGGTGACTGCTGCCTTTTAACATTATTTTAACTCCTCAAGGGTGCTGGAAATAGCATGAGAAAGCTGAGAAAAGGATCACGAGGAGCTTCAGTGCACCCTTTGGGTCACAGAAGTTCCCTAAGCGTCTCCAGCTCCTGAGTCCATAATCTTTCTGCTCTGCTGGCCCCAGAAAGCACCATCTGTAACCACAGATAAAACCCAGCTGCTTGCTGGGTTTTGCCAGGCTAATTAAGAAGTGCTGTGACCTCCCTAGGGCTAATTGTGTCCTGTTAGTGGGATGAAGGTAAGGAGTTCAGCAGGGTTGCCTGCTATTTCAGCACTCAGCTTCCTGACATAACTTCAAATGGTTTTTTTTTATTGTGACTGCGTGATTTCAGAGCTAAGACAGCTGCAGAGTGTATGTCTAACACACGGTTTCTGATCTGCAGGTGAGAGATGTGATAGAAAATTGCTGCTAGCACATGAATTTCCTGCAGAACGTCCCTTTCCACCAGCACCAGCATGCAGAACAACTACTCCCTGGCTGTCACCACCAGAGAAACTCTTCAAGCCCTCTCTACAGCACTGACAAACTCGTCGGCTGTGTTACTCTCGCCCCCTCCCTGCCCTCTTACCTCTTCAGATTATCAGTTTTCACTGATTCCAGCACTCTTCTCTGTGGTTTTTGTTGTGGGATTGATTGGCAACAGTGTGGTGGTTGGGGTGCTTTGTCGTCACACTAGTCCCAAAACAGTTGCTAATATTTACATTTTCAACCTGGCCATGGCAGATCTGCTGTGCCTTGCCACCCTTCCCTTCTGGGCTACCTACTATGCTCAGGGATACAACTGGCTCTTTGGGTCTCTCATGTGCAAGATCTCCAGTTCTGTCCTGTGCTTGAACATGTTTGCGAGTATTTTTTTCATTACATGCATGAGTGTGGACCGGTACCACGCCATTGTCCATCCTATTCACTCCCAAAGAAGGACTCTACAACAAGCTTATTTTGTAGCATCGGTTGTGTGGGGCCTTGCCTGTTTGTCCTCCCTCCCAACTTTTTATTTCCGAGACACTTACTACATTGAAAGCTTGGGGGTCAAGGCTTGCATTATGGCCTTTCCTTATGAGAATTATGCAAAATGGTCTGTGGCAACAGCCTTCCTGAAAAATGCCCTTGGCTTCTTCATCCCCTTGACAGTGATCACCACCTGCTACATCTGGATCAGGAGGCACTTGCTTAAAGCACGGGAGTTTCGGAAAAGAAAGCAGAAGAGGGACAAAGTGCTAAAGCTGGTTGCTGCTGTTGTTGTGGCCTTCTTAATTTCCTGGCTTCCATTCCACATTTTAACCTTTTTGAATGCCTTGGCTCATATGAACATCATTAACAGCTGTGACGTGATAGGGATCATTGACACGGCACTGCCCTTTGGCATCTGCATGGCATTTGCCAACAGCTGCATCAACCCTTTGCTGTACTGCTTCATTGGGAACCAGTTCCAGCAGAAGCTCCATCGGTTGTTTAAGAGACGAGTTTATCAGTTCAACAGCCATCGAGAAAGCTCCTCTTCAAGGAAGGGCAGCTGCTTCAGAGAAACTGAGACTGCCATGGGCAGGGAAAGAGAACCTGAGTCCTTCCTGTAGGCTCTGGGGCATGATGTAGGACAATGTCAGTGCAGCTGGTTGTCCCTGCAGTGATGACATTCCTCTCCCCTCTTCCCTTTGTTTTGGGCCCATTCATTTACCAGCTGCTTGAAGGAGAATCTGTTTTTATCATACATGAGGATTTATTCCTCCTTTCTGCAATGAGCACTCAACTTTTACATAGAAGAAAAGTTCAGACAAATAAATATATTGATGGTATTTTAAATATCATCTTTTTGCGTGGCTGGGAACAGGCAAGTGTTAAGTGTGACACTAAAAGACTAAATATACCAAAGGACCGTTGCACGACAGCTACAACTGCGTAGGTGCTGAGTATTATACCCTAAGCTGATTTTCTAAAAGAGATTCTCACTAGAGAATGTGTAAATAAAGAAGTTCAGATATTTCTGTATCAATCAGTAAGAAAATATTTTGACATATTTTGTACATTTTAATTTTTTTTAAATATACGGCTACAGATGTCATATGTAAAATGCATCAAATATGCCTCCTGTTTGCTTCGGACTGGGATCCTGAGAACATGTGGAGACATGGCTCTGCCAACTTCTGGAGGCAAGAGAGTATTCCTGAGGGAAAATAAAACCTCATGCATGTTTTTATATCTTTCTCATAGCAGGTAACATGTCTGTAGCCCAGATGGTCTTTTGCTTTGGTCCAGTGTGGTCACTTTGACAGTAAAGCTGCAGGAACCGAACATGCAATGTCCCACTGTTAAGTGGGAATGCCAAGCCCAAGGCACTGTCCAGTAGCCTTTAGGGAAAGGACTTGCTGATTGTCTGGACATTTTGCATCTAAAATGTTAATTATTACTGTAATTTTGGGGTACTGTGTGACTCTGGCTAAGTGACTCTGCCTTGACACCCAGAAGTAAACCCCTGGTGTGACTCCTAAGCCTTATCCACATGTCAGTATGGGGGTTTACGTGTTTCTAACTAAAACAAAGAGTGAGAGGCAAAAAAAGGTGTTTGGCAAACATTGATTCTATTTTGAGGTTGCTTTTGATGTTTCTTTTCATTTGCTTTTGCTGGAGAGATACTGGTCCTCTTGGACCCTTCAGAAAGGATCAACTTTTATGGGCTCAATCTAAAAGAGGGATCTGTTAGCACATTGCCCTTGTTGCCTGAAGGTTGTTCTCAGGCTGAGTGACCAAAAGATTGTTATCTTCGGCGAATTGTTTTTGAGAGTAACTCTTGAGGCTTCCATTAGCACTTTGGGGTCAGAAATTATGCCTGGTTCTTGGGGTAACCAGGAGTCTGGCCTCCCTGGAAGTCCCAGCACTGTCTGCTGCCTGGAAGCCATGGGAACCTGGTGCAGGAGCTGTATAGGGGTAAGTTTCTTCACTGGATTATACAAGAAATGTGCCAGTCTGAGAGTGATGTGAGATGAAAATTTTATGCAGAATTTGGCAAAACGGGGCCTGAACACAAGTAAGCCCTTCTTCCTGTCCTGGTCTGGTGTTCTGGAACGGGATATGTGGTTGGAGAGATGCTTGTCCCTGAAAGTGAAAGAGCTACTAATACAGCTCCCCTGGAATGTTTTTGTTGAAAATGTTCCGAGCAGCTAATAGTGTCTGGGGTGTTGGATATTTCTGGAAGGACAATCTGTTAATTGCTTAGCAATAAGGGCAGCAACACAGTGATGCCACAGCAACACAAACCAGCGCACTAAGAAAATTACCAGGTGTTCAAAGCGCAGGCTCAGAGGGGTAATAAGAGGTTGGGGAGACTTTTTGCCTTTGCTGCAGTACAGGTCAGCAATGAACAAAAGTGGGACATTAATTGACATCTCTGGAGTCTCAAAACAAAAGCTAATCTGCACCACCTGAGCCCAGTGGTACCTGTGCTTCAGCTGTACCTGTCCCGGGAGTAGGCACAGACTGCACGTTCTCTATATGTCAGGTTGGACCTGCTAAAAAAGAACAGTGTTTAACAAGGATTGTGCCTTTTGCCTGGTGTGCAGACTTATGCTGATAGGGGAATACTATGGTGATCTGAAATCCAGTTGCATTTACACCTGTGAGGGGCTAGAGAAAACAAGGACAAAACTTTCCCAAGGAGATAGCAGCGATGCAGCATCTCCCTCTGTTGTGGGACAAACTTCTGTTTGTCTGCTGGAGGGCAGGGATTGATAACCACTGACAGGGGCTGAGGCAGCTGCACACAATGTTACTTTCCGAGAAACAGGGAAACAAAAAAAGAGTATTTAGTGTGTGGCAAAACTGAGAGGGGAGGAAAATTCCTTCTTTCAAAATGCAGTTTCAAAAGAAGTCTACCCTGAAGGTCGTATTCTGCAAGAGTGACAAACCGAGTGACCCCAGTGTGACATTTTTGTTTACCAGATCTGCCTTGTACCTCTAATAGGTCATGAATTTGAGTAGTGTGGTTAAACAAACATCCAAAAAACTCTGTCTCGAGAGGAACCTCATATGGAAGCAGAGGAAGTGCTGTATCAAGGGTTTTGCTTTATTTTTAGAGCAAACTGATTAATGCTGAGCTGTAAGAATTTCTTCTGTGATATTCAAGTTTCTCATGAGATTTTTGAGGACTTTTAACAAAAAATGTATGTGTGGGAGGGGCTTCACAGTTTCCACATGTTGTTTATTTTTTCAAGATTTTCAGCAAAAGAATGTGAACAAAAATTTAAGTAGATTTCTTTTCCTTGCAGATTTGAAGCTACTTTTTTTCCTTTCAGGAGAATATTTTGCTGATATTTGCAAATGATTTTAGTTGTTGTGCAGTGCTGCAGCCTCTCTGTGTCAGACCCCAATTCCACCTCCCACCCTGGTCCTTTGCAAGCCTTGTATGCCCTAAGGCACCTCTAGAAAATGCAGACCCCTGTCCAATGCAGGAGCCCTGCAGCCCTTTTGTGGGGTGAGCAAGCCTGGGAGTCCTGCTCGGGCCAGCCTGGCCATCCCCCAGCACCCACCCTGACTTTGGGACACTGGAGCAATTCACACAGTTTTGGCAGGGATTTTGCAAGTGTGTGTGGTTGCTTAGTGTTGCTCACTCTGCAAGTACAGATATATGAATTTATGAGCAACAACTGGGGTTTGACTCTTCTGCCATGGTGCAGCAGAGTGGAAATCCCCCAGTACAAGGTGTGTGTTGTGATCTACCACGAAGAAATGCTGATGAGTTTGGAGTAAAAGCTGACAGTGGTAGCAGGGGAATTCCCCTCTGGAGAGGAGAATGTCCTGGAGCATTTCTGGGCCTGTCCCCCTGAAGAAGGATGGAAGAGATGGTTTCCTACAGGGGTCACTCCGTGTCTGATGTATTTGCACAGCAAAACCTGTTTGTACCTTCCTTTTTTAGCTCTAGCTGATTACTCTCAGCTTAAATGATTGCAGAAAGCATCTCAGTACAAACTGAGCATCCTGTGTGTGTCCCTGAGCCGACTTGACTACACAACTTCAATATATGCAGCGGAGAAAGGCATTTATTATCATGAGCTAGTGCTGGGTGGTGAGCTAAATGCTTTGTTTATGTAAGATATACAATAAGAAATGTTTGGTACAGCATGTTCTCCCTGAGAATTCAACACCGCCTGAATCTTGTGTTGGCATCCACTCAGCACGCTTGTCCCTGCTCCTGGCAGATACAGAGCAGGAATATCATCTTGCCACTCTGCAGACGACTGCCACAACTTGGCTTCCCTTCACAACACGTCCCCTTGTCCTGGCTGAAGGGCAAGAAGGTGCCATGGAGCAAGTGAACTGCTCATGTTTCCCTATGAAAACGAAGCCTTTTGGATACACTGAGCGGTCCTGGCAGGAATGCAGGAAACCTGAAGTGTGGGGGTTGAGGTGGTCTGGCAGCCTTTCTTCCATGCTGGCAGACTTGTTGCTCTGGTCTCAAATCTGCTTCCCATGGAGGAAAATGACCAGTGTTGTTGGGAAGGGCTGCTCTGTTCAGCAAGGTCCTGGGATGTGCCGCCTTCATGCCTGCCTGCTGTGGGATCCAGCTGTGTGCAACAGAGGGTGGCTTGTTCCTCTGGCCCATGGGCTCTGCCAGGAAGGGTTTATGAGTGTCCTATGGCTTTGTCTTACCAGATACCTGTCTACAGAAGGAGCCCAGGGCTGCTGTCTTCGACATCACATATCCTCTGGTTTCAGTACAGTGGTCAGCCCGTCACCATGACCGTGGCAGAGCATCCAGGGAGGTACCTGGCTGAGAGGCAGTGCTCCATCATGTTTGCCAGGTTTCATTGGAATCAAAATGGGAAAGAAAAAAGAAAAAAAAAACAAACGGGCAAAATTTGAAAATTGTTTGTTAAAACCAGTGGGAGTCTGTCTTTAAAGGGAAGTAATGCCTAACCCTGTGAGACACCCAGCTGCTTTGCACAGGCCTGGCTAAAATGTGTCTGGACCTTGGTCCTGGAATTGAAGAGTCTAGGGACAGGGAGCAAGCCAGCCTCTTTCATTACCTCTTTCAAATGTTTACTTTCCACTTCCTCTTCAGCTGAGACAGAGCCTGGATTTGACACTGTAAGCTCCGGATAGAACTCTGTTAATCCCCAGAGCACTTCACAGGGACAGAGCAGAGTGATATGGAAGTGGATGAGGGTCATGACATTAATATCCCTGCCATGAGGTACATCTGAACTTACCCCCCTCCCCTACTGACACCTAGTAGCTCTTCAGTCTTAACAAATACCAAATCACAAAGTTCCATTCCATTCCTGTAAAACAAGCAGTTATGGGAAGCCAGGATCCAGTGTGATTTTTGGGGTTTAGAATTGTAAATTTAAACACTTTATTGTTTTTACAGCAAATAAGAAAATCAACAACAGTGCAATTGTGACTTATCCAACACAACAGACAGCTGAAATGAAACACAGAACGAGGCTGTCTCTAGAAATCACACTCACCTTGTAACAAATGTAAGAAGCGTTTCTAGCAAGAAGGGAAATGGTATAATCATTAAATGCATTTAGACAGAGATGTATTGGATATATGAGATATAGTTACTGTTGAACAATGTGTGGGAGAGCTTAATGCAATGAAATGGAAAGATGTCACATTCATGTAATATACCCACAAGGAAGCAGAAGCAGCATATTATTATTACTGTTTAAACTTGAGTTTAACTGTGTCTTCTGCTTTCCCTAGGGATGCCTCAGAGGTTGTTCTCTGAAGTTACCTGCCCACACATATTGCAGTTCATTCATCATGGAGGAAGCACATGAACATAGAGGTGTTGGCTGTGCTGGAAGCGTGGGGCTGAACTCTGAAATAACTTGTCTGTGCCCTAAACGTGCCCCTTTGTGCTTTGCTGCCAGCTGGCACTGTGGGCAGCTGGTGTGTGAGCCCCGAGGCTGGGCAGTGGGGAGGTGTCAGCTGCAACCATCCCAGCCCCAGGCACCCCGGAATGCCCTGCCAGCCAGGGTGCAGTGCCATACAGCACACGGCCTCCTTCAAAAGCACAGCAAAACATCTGCACTGACACTTAGGACAGCATCCAAACATGAGCTCTTTCGCAATGACAGGAAAGTGAAAATTATGAATACAGTGTGTGCTAGGCATGCAGCTGTGTCATGACAGGGTAGAAAATATATAGCAACTAGCCCTGTCTCTGGAGAAAATGAAGCACTCCAAGAGGTGATGTTTATGTGACATACAGCTGTTTAGGCCTCCCCTTGCAGGAGAGCATGGTAAGTTTTCTCAATAGATGCTGAGTGGCATTACTTTGTATTTTTTGGCTTGCTCTGGTGAGTCCTTTAAGGAGTTTTACAAGTAATGAAATAGATCTCATGACGCTCAAGTGCTACCATCTTATGCTGCCAACACCTTCACTGGTTGCAGTGAGGTTTATTCCAATGGAAGGACAGTGCAATCTCTCTATACAAATCTCTACTGTCATGAACTCCAGGGTTATAGAGCATTATGAATCCCTTTTTATCATATAGTTTTTCTGTATTAACTGTTTCTTTTCAGATAAGTATAGCATGTAGAATTTGTTGTTCAAAGTGCTTGTGCTTCTTTGCAAGAAGATTGCTCCATGTGCAATTCAATAAGCAGTAAAAATGTTTGACAAAGGTCCACCTCAGAATGTGCTTTTATATCCAGATAGATTTTGTGGTGTAATGAACACGTTTAATAGTGAAAATATTTTTTTTTCAAATCTGTCCTAATAGACTGCTGTAGTTCAGTATATTTGGGCTTTTATTAGGGAAATAACACAACCTAAGGGAGTTGTTTTTAAGGACAAGTCTAAGAAAAAAAAGCTTCATGGTATGACACAATATGTGCTGTATTAACTGGGGAGAGCCCTGTGGACATCACTGGCTCTCAGCCTGGGATCTGGCAGTCTTACATCTGATTTAATTTTGACCTTCATTTCCTGTAGGAATGCAAAGGGATTTTTCTTTCATCCACTGGAACACCCGGAAAAGAAATTACCCATCAGTCAGGAATGTTTATTCCTTCAGCTCTGAGTCCAACATGAATCAAACTATGACACAACTGGCTGCTTTTCTATCTACTTTTATGATGAGATTTGATACTTTGCAGGTAACTCACCCTAGGATTAAGGGAAACACAAACAGGTAATAAAAACAGAAAGTTGTTAATGTTGGGCTACCCTGTAGCTAGCTGAGCTGCAGGAGTACCCAGAGCAGTCTTCATGCTGAAGGTAGGAGCAGATTTTATCCATACCATACTCAAGCTGGGTGGGAAATTATGTACTTGCTGCCTGCTAAGACAGCACTTGAGTTAAGCAAGACATACCACCAAAAAAAATCCACCATTTAAAAAATGTTGGAGGTTCATGTGGGACAAACAGGGTGGATTCAGTACAAGGGTCTGTTGAAAGCCTCTGAATAATTACTGAGGAATGCTCGCAGGTTTTCCACAGGCAGGTGACAGTGCTGAGGACTCGTTCTGCTGCGTTGCGACACCGGCAACAGGAGGCCCAGTGACCTGAGCTGGATGCGGTTGGAGACACATGAAGAATTGAGAGGCTGATCCCAGAGCTCCCTCCTGCTGTGGATCCTGTCATAAATCTTTGTTGTGTTCATGATGCCACCTGTGCCTGTCCCATGATCTTTGTCATACCATTACCACAGGTACGCAGTGATGTTCAGACCAGCTGAACTCATAGTAGAGCAATGCTGGCAGTTGACACCTACAGCTGTTGTACAGAGCATTTCCTTTGCCCTTGCTCCCTTTCTGTCTCCAGGCTCTTATAGACCCAATAATTAAGGAGACTAAATGAAGGAAGTCTGTCTTCAGCTTTATGGGGGTCTTAAACCCTCCCTGTTACTGGTTCAAAAGGAACATTGGAGCTAAGTCAGAGCTACAGCAACACAACAGGGCTAAGGGACAGATGATCACGTGTTCTCCTTCATAAGGTGACCAAAAGAAGTCACTAACAACTTTGCTTTTCCACAGAACTTGACAAAGGAGCGGCCTTTTGTAGATCATCCTTGTGGCTATTTCTAATTTACTGGCTCTACAGGCTCCGTCATTCTCTGCCTGGCATGAAGCATTTACCTGCTCTGTAAACAAATTCATCCCATTTCTACTGATGGAGGAAGTTGCTGTTCAGCCACACCATGGCAAAACATGCTTTACTTCCTCATATGATCTCACCTAATCTCACATACTGCTCTAAGGGTTGAATGTGCTCTCAGGCATTTGTTTAGCACAAAGCTTATCCTGCAGAAGTCCAGTGATTTTGCAATAAAGTGATCCGTGCTTTCAGTTGTTGGGAAATTCTGAAAGGCTAATTAAGAACTCCTTTCCTGAGGCCATTTTGCCAGAGTGCTGTCTTGCTGAAGGCAATGCTCACTTCCTGGTTAGCCTCTTCAAGGAATCTAAATGTTCCAATTAAACTATGATGTGCTGGTCTCTGCATTAGAAACCTCAATCCCATTAGATTTTTTTACCATCCATGAAAGCCTCTCAAATGCTCTGTGATTCATCACAGTTTTCTGCTTTTGCAGGCCACTTGGCAGAAAGAGGACACACTATTAGAGTGCATGAACTTAATTCAAGTGGGGGAGGTGAAGCTCTGATTGCTATTTCAGATTTCACCTGGGAAAACCTAAGCCAAGTAGAGAAGAGTATCTATTTTATCTTCAGATCCTCTTCTCTTCTGTATGTGTTTGCATTTATGAGTTAGATAAAGGGACATTGTGGTTCTGGTTTTTTTTTCAGGAATAGAATACTATGGATACCTCCTTGGAGGTTGTTGTGTGGACAAAACATTCTCAAGACTCAGGCTTCAAGCCAAGTTACAGATACTGAGTTCTGTATTCTGAGCTACAGTGAATGCATTCCAGTTAGGAAACAGTGAGCTGTGAGTTTTGCAATATTCATCTAAAAACATTACTGAACAAAGTTCTTTAGATTTGCTTAACGATTTTTTTTCCTGTAAGTCCTTGGTGATATAGAATCATAGAATCATAGAATCATAGAATCGATTGGGTTGGAAAAGACCTCCGAGATCATCGAGTCCAACCCTTGGTCCAAATCCAGTCCATTTACTAGATCATGGCACTCAGTGCCACGTCCAATCTGCGTTTAAAAATCTCCAGGGATGGTGAATCCACCACCTCTCTGGGCAGCCCATATANTTGCTTAACGATTTTTTTTTTTTCTGTAAGTCCTTGGTGATATAATGACATGTCAGACCTTCTCTGAAAGAAGAAAGAGGCCACCTAGTGTCGAATTACAGGCTGCTGTAGAAAACTGCTAGGAAGTTACGAAAATATAACTTCGGTGCAATAATAATACTAATTGTGGGAGTTTAAATAAAAAACAAACAAACAACCCCCCCCAAAAAAGAAATAGCGTTAGACATTGAAAATCAGATCTCGATTAGCCATGCTTTAGAACTTCTGCATGTCTATTTTGCAGGTTATCTACTGCTTGTTACAAAAAAATAGTGAGATTTGGCAGCCGTTAAGTTGCTGAAAGTTCAGTGCAGCACTCAGAAGACAGTTCCACTCTGGTGACTATACTGACATATTTGTGAAAACCCCACTGCCCCACAGAATGGACAGTTGAGTGAGGGGTGAGAGGTAAAGGAACAGATGTTCATGGTGCCAGACCAGCTGCCAGGATGCTTCAGAAAATCCCTGTGGGCTGCAGAGATACCACTGGCACCTCAGGATCCCTGGCTTTCATTATATTCAGTGGTGAAAAAGTTGCCCCAGCAGACTGTTTCATGTTTTATGAGTCTGAATTGCCTCCTGGTATTGCTCCTCCTTCTACATTGACTTTTAAGAGATCATGGAGCTACTGGTATGTTTGGAGGAGGGTCTAAACTGATGTTTTTTTCACCTAAGCTCTCTTTGTTGTCTTCTGGAGATACTTGGCTTTTCATGCATTCTCTGCAGAAGGAAGTGGGTCTCCTGGGTGCTTAATCTCACTTGGATGACTAAAGTAGATGGCATGAATAATCCCCCAAGGCATGTATTAAGCATCTCTGTTAAATACTGGTCTTGCATGCTCTGGCATTCAATCAGGCTTCCAGTGACACCCTTGCTTTCAAACAGAATCTACTCCATAGAGTGCAGGGTAATTTGAATACATACAACTGTAGGGAAATGCCTGTATTCATCTGGAAGGAGTCTGTCTACTTAACGTGAAACAATTTCCTTGGGAGAAAAAAAAGCATTTTTCTGTATCCCCTTCTGAGCCATGGTGTTGTCCAAAAAGATGGCTGAAACAAAGATCTTAAATTTTAGATTTGTCATATTTTGATACTTAGTTTCTCTTGTTAGTCACTGACAGCTGGAACCTTCTCAAAGTTCAGAACTCTCCAAATTAGACCTTAAGTATCTTCTTTGCAACATCCAGAAATGGAGGTACCCAAAATCAATGTCTCTGTGAACTGGTACTAATTTCATTTCATTCAAGCAGTATCATGAAAGTACTTCTTCCCTTACAAATATTCACTATGCAGATCAGTGCTTTAGTAATTTCTGCAAGCATAGGGAGTGCTAACATGGGACTGTTAGTGCATGTCCTGCTGGCATGGAATTCTAGTAAGGTCAGTTTAATTTGTTATGTAGCTATAATAAAAATTATTATAAGCTATAATAAGAAGTTCTAGTGTACAAGACTTCTAAAAAAAAAATCTACAAAGAAGTAAAGGGTAAAACCAAAGATAAGGTAGAATTCCATGTAAGATTACATATTGATGAGATCAGCTTTGTTCTGTATTTGAGGCATTTTGCTGCGGGCATAAGTTGTTGTTTACCAGATTAGATGGGAAGAGCAAAATAATAGCAAAAATAATAATAATAATTCTTTTAAGTTGCATAACTTCTGAGAAAAAACTATATTTAGAGGACTTGATGTGACAAACTCCATAGATATGAATATTACTTTATACCTACATTAATTATTTATTATGTTTGGAGAATGTTTGTGGCAGTTTCATGTGGCAATTCCAGCCCCTTTACATATTTCAGTAGAAGCTCTAGCTCAGTGTGGCATCTATGTAGGTAATAAACAAATTTCAGATCAAAACAGTTAGGTTACAGAAAATAAAAAACAAAGTTAGTCAAAACTTAGTAGGAACAGAAGTCCTCAGAGCTTGGTTTTAATGTCTCCCAGTTATTTGTCCTATATTGATGTGCTCTTGGATACGTGCTCTGCTCATGAAGAGGACAGTTCACATAGGCTAGTGGGAGCTTATGTTTTTCACAATGTCTGCCTAATATTTGAAATTCCAAGATTTTAAGACAAGAGGGATATTTATAATGTTTAGAATTGCCTACTCTTATCTCCTGCACAGCCCTACTTCAGTCAGGTTGTGTTTTTCTAGCTATTTGGATATATGAATCCTAAAAAAAGTCTTATGAAAGTGCAAGTCCAAGAGAATGCTACTAGGCAGTTTTTTTATAATTGTTTTTTGTACACCATTCAAAGTAGTCCATTGGTCTGCAGGGATCAAGAACAAGAGATTGCAAACCACAGAGCTGTGTTTTCCAACAGAGTGGAAAACCATGACATATGTGGTGGAACATGATTTGAACATGCTGAAAACAAATGTGCATGTGACAAAGTGTACACAGGCAAACTCACATGCTCTTAAGTCAAAAGATGTCATAGGCACTAACGCTGATTCTCTTACATCTGCAGAGCAGTGCCTCCACCCATGAGCCACTGATGTCAGCGTTACTTACAGATGAGTTGGGTTGACCATGGAGAAGAAAAACATGCATGGAGATCATCAAAATGTCTCAGAAAATATTTCAGGTAAATACACCATCGTTTGCTGATGATGATCTTTAGCTGGTAGGAAATCTTGTCGGTGCTTCATCAGCTCTGGAGGCAGCAGCAAACCGTATCTTCATGTCCCCTTCCAAAACACAGTCCAGGAATAGTGCACTATAATTGAAGTCTACAAATGGTATATTTGACAGTGTGTTCACTGCAATGAGCAGTCCCTCCTCTGGGGGCCTTCTGGGCTACAACTAAACCATAGAGTCCTCTTTTCCATATGTACTGTCACAAGAAGCAAGTTTGCAATGTCTTTCTCTGGTACCTTTACAAGAGCTGTTCCCTCTCCTATCTGAAGCAAAGTGATTACTTGAGTAAATAAATACCACCTGGTAGATTTATCAGCAGCTCTAACTTTTGCCGGCAGAATCCTCCAGTGTTTTCTGTCTTGTGCAATTGAGGAAATATTCATAAACCCTTAAGATACAAGAACTGAAGGAATGCTCTAGAGCTTTTCTGATAAGCCTCAAAATTTCCTGGTAGTACTAATGTCTTAACTTTCCAAACCTGAAGAAATAATACAGATAAAAATGGCACGCAGAAGGAACACACACAGACAAAAAATGGCATGTTTCAGCCAAGAGAGAACATTCTTCTGTAAGATTCTCTTTAACACCATACTATCAGATTTTTTGCCATTTCCAACAAAAAGTAAAGTTAGTATTGAGAAATCTGATGCTCCCCATTGGTCTCATACACTGCAATAGCTCCTGAGGAAAGAGAGAAGCATCCAAAGCTTCTTTGCATTCCCTTTTCTTCCCTTTGCTTTTGTGCATCCTACCAAAGCTATCTTTTAAAAGCTGCCAGGTCAGCATTTCAGATCCAAACCTAACTGTCCTTGCCTTGAATGGGGTTGGAGTCAATCATCTTTGTTATTAATGATCTAAGTGGTTCTTCTTAACTTTTTTTAAGCTTACCTGTTCTGTTTTGCAAATCTCTGGCCACCTCTATTGGAGTATCTTCCTGTTTGGTTCACAGCAATTACAGAGCTTTAGTATTGCATTCCTCAGAGCTGGTTAGATTTTGTGTCTGATTTTACCTGTCTTTCCTCTCCTGTGCATGTTTACTTTCCTTGTCCTGACCTTCCTTGGTTTCAGTAGAACCAGTTAAGCTTTATTTTTATTTTCCTTCTGGTAGAAAACATGTTTTGTTGGGTGACTTTAATTCTTAATGCAACAGGTTGCATACGGTCTGATCCAAGAGTTGTTTGAATTTCTTCCAAATTTGTTAACCTTGTCTTCTTCCTTCCCTCAAACAACACCACACAGATGATCAGAGTAGTGCTGGGATAGTCCTGGCATATGTAACTGTTACATAATTTAACACAGGAGTCTT